AAAGAATTAAGTTCATCGAAGCACTCTTGTCTTGACAATCCACGTCGAAAGTTATGAAAAATAATGGCACGAAAATGTTCACGATTCAATTCCATTTTTTGAAAGAGAAGAACTTTTCAATTTACTGTCAACAACACAAATGAAGCTATAATGGTAAATCGTCTGCTGAATTTATGTTTAAAAATATCAAACTTTTGATTAAAATCGTCTGCGGTCGCCTAGCAACACTTACTGTTGCCAAGGCCAGAAATATAAATAGCAACCCTCGTAGCAGCACTTGAAAAGCGCCAAATTCGAATTTGCACAAAGTAGCCCCACATGACGGTATTTTATTGCATTTAATTTATCTTCAGTAGTGAATATATCAAATTTCAAGTTATTTGGTTTGCCCATTCTTAATTTCGGCATTTAAATGGTTAACTCAGCGTGATGAGAGAGGATTCTTTTTAGGCTCAAAGTTGAGGAGCATTAGTACCAGTTTATTTGCCCTGGTATCTACTCAAAACTTTTGATCCTTTTAGTATGATAAGAGATAAGTTCAATACTACTTTTTAGTTTTAATTGATTACTTCATTTGTTTATACAAACTTATATGTTATTTAAATATACTATAAAAAGTTCTGCTACTTTTTTTAACTAAATTTTTTTTCTCCCAATTAGCAAAGTAAACTGGTTACAAATGGAAAAGCCAATGGAATCGCTTCAGGAAAAGGAAAAATACAGGAAGTACCAAAAAAGAAAGAAACTGTAGATAATAGTGAGAAACCAAATGAGAAACCGAAAAGTAGTGAGAAGATATCTGCTGATAAAAAAGTAAAATTTCATATTTATTGTGCCCAAAATATATAAAATTATTTTAAATTCTCTTTATGTTATTTTTTTTGTTTTATTATTCTGCTGTGAACAAACAAATCGTGAATAAAAATTGGGGTGATTGTATTCCGGAATTCCGGGTATTTCATATCATCCTCCCTGGTTTTAAAACTAAGATTTTACCTTTCAGTTTCAATGTTAAAAAAATCACAAATTAATCTGATGGGAATTAAAATTACTCCAAGCATACTCTTAGCAATCCTGTAACACAGCAAAGTTTCTTGACAGTACCAACGTTCTTTGCTTCAAACTGGAGGACAGAAGCAGTGATGGGGGGTAAAGAGTAAGAGATGTATGTAGAGAGTTCTTTTGTTCTCCATGCTTTTTTTTGTTTTTTTTTTGTTGATTACTTTTGTTTTTTTTTAGTGCTTTTGTTTATGATTTTTTAATAGCCCATAAAAGTGCTCTTTTTTTCTTTGATTGTTGTAAAGATGCTTTTATTTCTTTGCAATGCTGATTGTCGCCATGTATTGCTTAAAAAATATTATTTTTTACAATGGAGTTCCATGCTCACAAAACAAGGGTTTTTTATATTAAAAAAAAAACAAATTTTGCCCAAAGATAAGTGTTTTTTCATGAAAGGACTCAAATTCGCTCTGAATAAGTGGGTTATTTCAAATATATTCTAAATGCATACTTATATATACCAAATATTAGAAAAAGATATAATATACTGAAAAAATGTTTAATTATTACCAAAGGGTATTATCAATTATTATTACAAAGAAAATGGTTATAAGAATAACTATTTCAGCCATTTTTCTATCTCTAAATGCATAGTGATTAAGCTACTAAAATGTTCCTTTGTAAAATGTAAAGCATAGTATTTATGTGATTAGTTTTAAATTATATATGAACATATTTTTTGCTATAAATTAATGAATAGAATATTAAGATACATTGCATGCAGTTATGAAATGAAATGCACATATCTTTTTGTAGTGCATGGTCTTTTCATTGACTTTTTTCAATGTATGAATTCTTTATATGTCTTATAATGTGCAAAAAATCATCATCTTATATGTTTACTGTACTTTTTGCTTTTGAAATTAATGAAAAAAAGATAATAAACTTTAAATGTTTATTTTCTAAGCATTCCAAGTATTTAATTTAAGATTTTAATGATCATGCAGAAATACTAATTAAATTTAATTAATAATTATGCATGGCATGGGCTAATGACCTCAAATTAATAGCCAGTAAATTAGCCAAACTTCAAAAGTCTTTAGCCAAAAGCAAATCTTAACGATTTTAATGATAAATTTTTTCCCATTGAAAACTTCACATAAAAATATTGTACTAATTTTTTAAAATTTTGCAGTAAGTTTATTTTGATAAACAATATGTTATTGTCCTGAGAAAACATATTTTCTGCAAAAATAGTTGGATGATAATATGTATCTATCTACCACTTAATCTACCTACCACTTATTGTCACAAACTATAGGAAAGAGTTTCCTCATGTGATATCGTGTGATCCGGTGTCGAACATGTTAATGAATTTTTTTTTTATCATGGTGCATAGTGTTTTTAAAAAGTGCTTGTTTTTGATTTTTGTTTTTTAAAAGCCCGTAAAGATGCTTTTTTCATGGGGTGTTTTTAAAAAGTGCTTTATTTTCCCTTTTCCAAAATTAAATATTTTTTTTCTTTTTCACATTGATTTTCACTGCTTTTTATGCAAAGTGTGATTTTCACATTGTTCTATTCAACGTTTTCACAATTCATTCAACTACAATCCATTTTGGCTTACCATGGTTCCACAAGATAGGATAGTGCCAATCGTGTTACATGTTTGATGAAATACTTTTGAGTCTGCATATGCATCTACTGAACTGGGTTTGGTGAGATTATTGCACTCTCAAATGCAACTCTGCTGAGTTTGGCAAGATATTCTCAATTTCAAGCTTCATTTTCCACCCTCGAAAAATCACTTGATTTTTTTTATGATTTCTAATATAATAAAGAAAAGAGTTCTTTGTCAGAAACCAGGGTTGGGTTTTTGACGTCAAAAAGTGGTTTTTGACATGACAAGGGTATAATACTGGTTTAAACCGTCAAAAACCCGTCAAAAATGTCAAAAACTGAAGTTTGCCAAGAAAATATATAAACTTCAAAACTACCAACAGTTGCCATGCATTATATTGAAATTTAATTATACTATAGGTAATCAGCAGGATTTAAAATATTGTTTAATTAAAATTAAGGTAAAATAACAGATTTAAAATCTCAGAAATTTATATTCAAATGCATGTGCACAAAATATTGCACAAAAATTGTTTAAATATTAATATTTAAAAAAAAAAATTTTTTTTTTTGATACTTAAGAAGATTAAAAGTTTATTACTATGCATTTTTGACATATAAGGAACAATTAACTAATATTTATAAGGAACTTACAAGTTATGTCGTATAAATACAAACTTGATACAAGTGCATAAATTTTTTTTTTAATGTTTTACCGAATATCTTTATTATCCAGTGTGTTAATTTGAATTTAAAAGTAGTTATATTTATGAATAATGATAAATATAATTCATATTGTTTATTATATTTATTTATAATTATTACACTTATCATTTTAAAACAATTTTTATCTCTTAATTTTTTTTTCTCCACTTGTATTAAGAATACAAATAATGCATATCTTGAAAGCAAGAAGTAATTATTCAACAGCTGAATATTTAGATATTCAACAAAACTATATAGTATTCAGCAAAATGAAATTCACAAGTATTTGGATAAACTAAATTTTCAGCATAGTAAATGAATAGGCTGAATATACTGTAAATCGACACTAACTACTCTGTGTATTTAACAGAAAGCACTTAAATTTGTATTGTCTTATGTTAAAAAGATTATTAAGAAGATTTAAAAGAATATTAAAAAGATTTTTCTTTAAAAGATGTCTAATGTACAAAACTGCTAATGTTTATCTTTAAAAATGTCTAATTTTTAGTATAATCTATACTATACACTAAATTTGGTTATAAATAAATTTCTTAATAATATCACTGCAGATTTTCAATAACACATGAAAATGAATACATAATATTACAAAAGATGTGAGTTTTCAAAAGTACAAGATTTTGGTTACTATTCAAAATATAAGTGTTTCTTCAAAATTTTAAATTTATTTTTTCTAGAACATATTTAGAAACACTATCCTTTAAAAAATATATAAATTTTATGTATTAATTAAATTTCACATATGAATATAGGTTTTTGACATTTTCGACATTTTTGACAGTGAGGTTTTTGACGTGACGGTTTAAACTATGGTTTAAACTGTCAAAAACTGTCACATGTCAAAAACCTGCCAACCCTATCAGAAACTAGTTATTTTATCATGATCATTTGCATTTTGTTAAGGTATATAGCACTTCAAAATATTTTTGAGTGCTTAAAAAGTACTTAAAAGGTGCTTATTTTTTGTTGAAAAATTTGGCTGCACACCCTGTTTATGTTTGCATAACCTCTCTTGTTGATTAGATTATTTGGACTTAATATAATTGTAATTAGTTATGCGACATATTTAATGGAAATTACTGTAATCGAACAAAAAGTGAAATATTTGTTCAAAAAACATTCATATTGACGAAATTTTCAAGATTGAGGAGAATTTATATTTTTTTAGTTGGTAGGAAGAATTGTTCACCAATATTTTTGCCAAAATGCAGTTTGTTTTGTGGAATGTGGAATTTACAATTTTATCGCATTTGGCGAGGTGGCGAATGCATTCACTTTCCGTTGATAATTAATATAGTTACATGTTCACTATATAATTTAATCTTTATTTTGTAATCAGCAAATTTTTACCAATTGAAATTTAGCAAATAAAAATAAGATTGACAAATATTAAATAAAATAGATTTTTGGTACTTGTTCAAATGTAAAATATAAACTTAATTACTAGTGTCGTGAAAATTTTATTACCTTAACTACTTTTTCTGTCCCTAGGCTATTTTACTATTTAAACTGAACACAATAAAAATTAGAAATTATTCTTTCTAGTTCATCTGTCATTAGGAGTTAATAATTGAATTGTTAGATGAGAGATTTTTGGCTCACTTTTGATGTTCTAAATTATGCGTTTTTTTCCCTGTTTTGCCAATTATGGGATTATGGGTTGAATGTTTTTAACATTATCTTTAAACATAGAATTTTTGCTAAAGGTATTGTAGATAAGAACTGGTATATTCTATGATAGAAATCTTAAAACAATATGGGGATATTTTGGTTTAATCTTTTGAAATAGGTACTCATTACAAACATTTTTTTAATTGAAAAATTTATTTCCACATGTCTTATATATCAAACTGATTTTGTAATATTTGATGTATATATATAATTGAATTTATTCTTTCATTTTAATAAATGCTGAAGGGTTTACAATCCAAATAAATTATGCAACAAGTGTAATGTGTTTGTATATTACACACATACATTTCTTTTTATAAATAAGCAATGTATTACAATTTAGCAATATGTTTTTTTAATTACATACTTTATCTTTGTCATGTATTTAGTTCATTTATATTAAATTTTGCTTGCAAAAATCAGATTTATTGAAATTTGTTTTACTTTGTATAATTTTGTATAAAAAGTTGCATTTTTTTTTAAACCAATAAGTTGATAACTTCAAAGAATAATTTAGTTTGATAATTGCAAAGAAAATTGATTGGAAATGGTAAAGTATGAAAAAAAAAACCCCCACTTAGTGGGTATAAAGATGTTTTTTTCCAAGCGAGTTCAATCTGAAAGTTTTTTTAGACGAACCCTTACTTCAATGAATGATCATTGCTATAGTTAGTACAAATGTGCCAATAATTTTACATGTAAAATAAATGTCTCTATGTATGCATATGTGTAAATTTCTGTTGAGAAAGATTCCTACATTTGCATTCTGCATTGTTGAACTTTTATTGTATCATTTACTTAAAATGTTACATTATTAACTGTGATTGCAATAAAAGCAGTCTATTTTTTTTTTTAGATATTTTTAGCTTTAGTTATCTAAAAAATAAGATGTTAAAATTTTTTTTAAATAAATACCTTTATAAAAATCTAAATTTTAAAGCTATATATTTCATGAATATGTTAGAAACAATGTATAAATAATCAAGTTTTTGTATGTAATACAGAAATAAATGCTCTTAATTCTTTTGTTAATGCTATTGCTTTATTACTTGAAGATTTATCTCTGCAACTCTTTTGAAACAGATGAATATCCTTTGACTCATAAATTTATTATGTATGTTAAAATCAGGACTGTGGAGTTAGAAAAAAGAGTATTGTTGATGATTGAAATTTTGGTTTGTTCCTCTTTGGTAGTGTTAATAAGAAGTTCATTTAATAAAGCAGATAACAAAATAATATGTGTTATCTCTACGGGGGTTTGCTTTCTTTCAGCAAACATGGATCCCATGACTCTTGGGTATCACGATGATCTTTTCTTTGTTCTACTTCTCTTTGTCAGATTTAGTAAATGTACCCATTTGATTTTATAGCATTGAATATGTAATTTTGCAGTATAGACAAATCTGGTTCTCATGCTACTACATTCAATTAAATTCATATGTTTTATTATTTTATATTGGCAGAAAATAAGCATTCTAAGATTTCCTTGTTTAAGAGAAATATGTTAACTAAAATTCAGTACTATAATTTAGCAACTGAGAATAAAAAATTGAAATGATTTAATTTTATTTGTCAAGGTTATCAAAAAGACCAAGCCCAAAAATGAGAAACCACAAGAAAAGAAAAAGGAGAATGTTGTTGCTGATGAAGCGAATGATGGTTTGTTTCAATTTTTATTTTTTATACTTGGAAGAAAACTCATTTTTTTGTTATACTTATGTTGAGTTTTATTTTATCTTCTTATAAACATATTGAGTATTTTATTTTAATTATATAATTTTAAAACAGTCACACCTTGTTAACATGAACTATATTTTGATACCCAATGAATTTCTTTTAGTATGCTTTTGATTGCTTTGTGAACAAATCTAGCATAAAAAGTCTTGAGAGAACTCAAAATTCAGAATCCTTATAAAGAAATATTTTTAACCTGTATAAAAAATTTCTCATTCTGTTTGTTAAAAAAAATAATAAAAAATCTGAGCTCCAAGGTATTCTGTAAAAAAAATTTCACATCCTTTGTTTAGTTATTTCATCAGGACATACTGACTCACTAAATTTTTAACAAGATAAAGACACCATTATTAAATCATCAAAGTAATATAAATCATAAGATAGTAAAAAGCATTCCCTCCTAATAGTGTGCTTAAATTCTTTTTTAATCTTTTAGGTTAGAGGGGTGCTCTTTTTAATCTGATCTATGTTTTTCAGAATACATATTCTTATAAAATTAAAAAGTTCTTCATTGATGACATATGCTTTCCTAAACTTAAAATACTGTTTTTTCTGAGGTAATATTTTTAATTTTCAACTGATTTGTTTATAAATGTAAAATTTTTTGTATTAATATAGTGCCCGATTCACATAGATTCTTCTATTCCATGCAAGTTATGATAAATTAAACAATAAACCTTTATAATTTTAAGGATTTACTTTTAAAAAAAATATTTTGGAGGTATTATGTTTAAAAATCCTTACTATATTGTAATGTGTTATAATTTTCTCTAAAATATGATGCAAATAACGATTCAATAATAGAATTTCTGTATTGCAAAGTATATTATATTGAAATAATATTTTTTATTATGTAAAAATTGATTTAGATGGTTGGGTACAGCTTGTTTCTAAGAAGGGAAAGAAGAATCGTAAAAAGGAAGATAGTGTAGGACCCGATATTCAATTTACCCTCAATCAGTCTCCATCTAGAAAAGCTACTGACACTAGTAAGAATGTTTTTGAATACCAACTTTAGTTATTTTAAATTGAAATGATCTTATTTATGATTGTATTTATTGATAAATACTATAGTAAACTGCTTGTTACTGAACTTCTGATTATACTACAATTCAACATTATATATATATATTTATAAATATATATATATATATCAAAAAACTAAAGTTGTGTAGCAGAAAGCTGTTGTTTTTTACCGAGTCAAAATAAGTAAAATTTGGTTAAAAACAAAACATCAGAGATAACCAATATATTTTATTTAAAAATTTTTTTTTTTTTAAAAATTAACAAGGATTATCTTTAAACATTTGCATTCATTGTCATTGTATTGTTTTAAACATATCTATAATTATTCCCAAGTTGTATACATTACATAAAATCAATTCAGTATTTTCAAGTGTACTGTCACGACGTTGCCTCGTGACAATT